ATGTTTTAGTTTCCGATCTTCTTAAACTTCACTATAAGACATATTAATAATATATTGAACAATGTTGAGTTTCCAATCTTTTAAAAATTCGCTACAAGATACATTAATATATTAATATAGATCCATTTATATATTTTTTCTGCAATGAAAATCATTTGAAATATATAAAAAAAGGTTCATATATAAAATTTTTATAATTTTTTATAGGCTGTGGGGACAGCCTGTAGAAATTGTTAAATAGTCAACAATAATACTTGACCTACGCCAGAGGTCATGGAGCTATGATACACGTCGATATTTTAAACCTTATTTATGGTTTATTTTTTATATATAAGATGAGATAAAGGGATGTGACGATGATATAGAATTTTAATTCTAATTCTCCATAAACTCATACCAAATGACTGCTTAGGGGTCATTCAATAATGGCTGAATTGACTTTAAATTAAATGATGTATTGCTTTGTCTATGGATGTAGAATAAATAATAGTTAATTAAAAATTTTCTACAAAGAATCACGATTTGAAAATGAAAATATGGTTTCTAGGCAAATTAATTATTTTTTGAAGCTTCAAAGAACAATGGATTTGGACAATTTCATAGATTAATAAGCTTTAGCTTCCAAGTATGGTTAATAGAAAATATGTGAGAAAAAGTGTTATAAGCATTTGATAAATGTTTATGTTAAAATGTATTCTAAAGGTAAAACATTTTTAATTCCAATACAAAACAAAAAGCTGAAACTTTGTGTTTTGGGGCTTTAACAAGCCAAATCCTTAAGTTTATCCAAACCCAAGCTAATAATTTTCTGAGAGCATGTGAAACACGGATGTGACCTTAACTTACTCATTGTCTTTCAGTTCAAAGTATCATCATCAAAATAGCCACTGACATGCTCTCTCTCTCTCTCTCATGTGGTTCTGGCTTATTCTTTCCTCTGTCTTAACCATCAATAAAGCGGTATGATTGGTGATGTATTAGCACGATCTAGCAACTTCTTATTGGATGGTAGTTCAAATGATACTTTGACACGTGGCATTTTAAAACAATTAGATGATATTCTGGCATCCTAAGGATGATGACTTGCTTTAGTCAAAATGATGAAAAGTCATATGTCGATTTATTAAAAACCCAGTTGGCAGACCCACCTCGGCAAAGCAGCTAGGAGCACCTCGTCTAGGGTCGACTTGTGGTACCTCGTCGTTACTGGTCCAAGGGACCTCGACGCGAAGAGCGATCTTCCTCTAAGACTTGTCAACTCGATTGAGGTCTAGGTAGCGACTCACGAGACGTGCTTGCCAACCTCCTCCATATGTGCATCCTGTCACTCCTAGGTCTTCTGGAAGTCAGCTCTTGCACCGAATGTTTTGGAGGAAACTAAATAAAGCATAGAGTCTGGTCTACGTGCGCCATTACCTCCGAGGACTTTGGACCAGCCAATCACGTCTTCCTGGAGGTTTCGGATGCAGTGCATGAAACCCACATCAAACAATGCCTATATATAGGTCTTATTTCCAATCTCAGAAGGTATGCGCAACTTAACTCTTTATCATTTTAACTAGTTCTCTCTAAAATCTTTACATCGCTGACTTAAGCATTGGAGTATCCACCCCAGATAAAATAACATTGGCACTTTAACACTGACTCTTTATAGATCAACCCGACTAACTAGCCGGCTCAGCACCCGAACCACCTTCCAATAGGAAACTCGCCAACTCGACGTTTTTTTTGATGATTTCAACCAATTAGTAACAAACATGATATGACCGAAGCTCGTGGTCGTGGGTTACAGAAATGATTGCGTGACTATTGGCGCTCTACCATGTTTTTGTCCGAAAAAAAAAAATTAAAGAATCCAAGGCCCCAAACGTGTAATCGTCCGTTCGATCATTTGACTCAGTAAAGTAAATGATTTATGATTATCCCATTTTGATCCAAACGGTAAAGGTCCAACTACAACCATCGGGTCTGATCCGAGTGTGACAACACTGAGAGGAGAGGAGGAAAACGAAAGGTAGAATGACTAGTGGGACCCACGAGAAAACACGAAATTTGATGGGCCTCCTCGTGGGTTGTCCGCATTGGCCAGATATGAGATGCCTACACCCATGAGTATATTCTCCTCCACAAATATTAGCCTCCCCCTACCCCCCCTCCTCTCAAATTCTGTGGTTCTTTTCCAACAAGGAAATAAGCAAGGGAAGCCAAAAGGGCGACGAGAACTCAATCAATCATTTAGGCCACATGGAGAGAGAGAAGAAGGCTAATCACTGTTCATCTGATAACTGACCAACAACCAACAATGCTAGCGTCATTGCCAGCCAGAGTCTCCCACAAAAGCGGTTCCGGGATGTTTAGCTCTGTCCTTTTGTGAATCGAGCCTCCCGAGGGACACGGCCCGTGACGCTACCATTTTGTGGTTTTGGCTCTGGCCCTCTGTGCCTTTGCCATTGTTGAAATTTTAAACTCCATATTTTATTTTTTTAGGTTAACCTGCAAACCTTATCTTCCATCTGTCAGATGATGAGCGTAAAAGGAAAGAAGCAGGTCTCCAGAGCTGCTTTGTCTGCTAGCACAACCCCTACACATTAACTGGAATATGGATTTCCAGATTTTGACCTAATCCTAAGAGGATGATGGTTCTTGACGTCAGATGGGAATCTAATCAAACATCAGACCGGCCTTATAGTACACTCTGTATACATGGATTATTGTGGTTAATTAAGACAGATTTGTATAAATTAATCAAGCAAATCATCGTTTAGGCTCCGTTTGGAAAGAGTGTAAATACAAGTAAATGGTAGTTACAAATAAATCTTCTATTTGCACTCTTCCCAAACACAGCCTTAAATACTTATTAACTATGATGATTATTGATGATGACGATGAGATGGGGGCAAGGTGGGGAAGAGCAGGAATTAAATTTATGAGATGAGACGCAATTAGGGTATGTATGTATGTATGTATAGCTTATCTATATCTATCTGCTGGAATGCAAGGAACAAAAAGAAGTCAAGGAAAAATAGATTCCCTCTTCAGTGCTTCACATGTTATAAAATGTTATTATTTGGCTTGTCTTGGTCTGGATTAAAGATTAAACTAAGTGATTTTATCTTCTTAAATCTTGGGTATTAATGTATTATCTTATTAAAATGAAGCTAGTTTAGGAAATGATCTTACATCATCAGGCAACTGTCAAGTGCTAACAGCCAAATATATCTAATCTATTCTGTTTGTCAGAGACGGTCCCGCATGAGAGGTTGGACTCACTGATTCATCTTCTCTTTGGTTTATTAAATAATATATGATTCGATTCCAGCCTCCTTTCAACGGTGGATCTCAGCTTCAGCTGATTTGTTTTTTTCTTCTTCTTCTTTCTTTCACTTTTTTATTCACCCTCCTCCCAAGATTCGTCTGACTCTGATCAAGGCAACACTCAAGCTCAGCCGCGTGATTTTATCCCTAAATATATAGTTATATAATTACCGCTATTTTCCTATTAAGACCAAGACCACCTTTTTAAGGTAATGTTTGTTTTCATAAAGAGAGAGAGAGAGAGAGAGAGAGTAAGCTTGAGGGAAAATACTTGGGGAGTTTTGTGAAATTGGTTTACAATTTCCTTAAGGTTTCTGTTCTATCAAACCAAACAAGGTATTACCCCAAAAAAATCAAACAGGGTAAATCAAATAGTATCAATTCATAATTTGATCTAAGTACACATGGGAATAATACTTTAATGTCAAAGTCCTACCGAATTTACTGCACTTAGTATCATTACCAAATACCAATATTAGTTGATAGAGTGGCAACAGAACACCACTATAACAGATCCTAAACCAGACTTGTCCATGCGAATCATTCTCTTAACTACAGCATGAGATCAAGCTGCTATACATAAGAAACAACAAAACAAGAGAAAAAACAGAAATGGGGTCCACCAACAGAGTCACTTGCTCAATCAATGAGAGAGAGAGAGAGAGGAATCATCAAAGAAGAAACCAGTTTAAAAGGGCATATATTATTACATTAAAGAGAATAAAGAAAAGAATAAAAAATGCAGAGAGAAGCTAAGAAGAGGAAAGGATAAGCATGATGGAGTTCAGTTCCATCTCCAAAAAGAGACTTTGGGACCCTTGTGCTACTGTTGGGGGTCACTGTTTATGAGTATCTATCTCTCTTGGAACTCTAGTGCTTTGCTTTGATCTACCTATGCTGGCTTTTCTTCTTTTGATTGCTTTTTAAATTATTTGTTCATTCGTTTTTTCGATCAAGAGCATCAGGAAAGAGAAATGTAATTGGCTAGAACAATGCGGTGGTGAAAAGCTAATAACCTCCTACCCAAGATTCTGGTCTTGTGGTTTGTGATTAACAACCAAATTTTTATTCAATCTGCCTTCTTTCCAATTGTCCTAAAGCGTCTTCATATTTACTCTCCACTAGCTTTACAGGTCTGAACATAAATGTATTTGTTCTCTCCTCCCCACACAAGTGAAGTGACAGAATCATCAACAGTGGAATAATTGAGGCGAATAAAAATGTGGGAACTTAAAACAGTATCTACCCCTTCCCCACTTCAGTTTTCAACAAGGGTCTAGAAGAGGAATCCGTTTTAGATAGAGATGGAAAGAAAGGAATCGGGGAGAGTTTCTATCAAAAGCAGAGCATGAAAGAAACCAAAATCTATCAAACTCTTATCAGAGAAGATGATACAGGAGGAGAAATGATAGAGACCCCCAGATCAGATTTCTACCTTTTTGACAAACAAAAAGGTCAAGAAAAGTAAAAGCTTTTGATCTCCTTTTACTGAAATAAAAAAATAAAAAAATAAAAATCAGAATTGGGTTCATCAAAACACGAATAGATTGCATAAAGTACTGATCATTCAGGAGCTACACCAATCGGAAAGAGAGAAAGCTACCGACGAAAAACTCCCTAAAACGAAATTATTGAACCTCTAAGCCCTGGTTAGTTTAGAACATGATAAACATCAAAACCTAAGCTTGTTGGAAAGTAGACATGATTTCTTTCAATGAGATAAAGACAGTTTACACAGGATTACAATGGGGAAGGGGAGAGAGAATTAACTGTTATTTCTAATGAGATAACAAGTAAAATCCCCAAATACAGATACAAGAGTTACAAAATCTAATCCAATTCTACTTGCGTTAATATTGAAAATTTCTTCTTTCCCACGGTTTAAAAAAAGAATTGGTACAGAGAGAGAGAGAGAGAGAGAGAGAAGGGTTTGCAAAGGAGAGAGCGGCCCGATGCCTAGCCGGGCCTAATTCTTTTCTGGCCAGCCTTCCCGTCAGACTTCAAGGTCCCTCCTGAATCCCCTTCGGATGAAGCTTCCATGGATTTGGTGAAGGAGGTGGAAAGGTCAGCGTAGAGGTCGACCACCCTCCGGATGTTGTTGTTAAGCTCCCTGATCAGACCGACATTTCGGCTCAAGTTGTCTGGCATTTTCGACTCGTGGTTCTGGTTTATCTCGTTGATGAGCAACCTGTTCTGATCTAGGATGTTCTGGACTTGAACAAAGCTCTTCTGAAACGTTTGTAAGACCTTGTTATCTACTTGAGTACCGTTGCCAAGGCCTGAAAATGTATCCCCATCCATTTTCAGACAAACTCCGTTCCCAATCAAGCCCGCTCCTGCATCGAAGAACAGAAGGAAATAAGAAAGAACATAACTAAAAGACAAAGTTCATCTCTCCATAAACTAGACACAAAAACAAAAGGAAAAGTAAAACCAAAGGGAAGATGAGAAATTAACGTTTTATTTAAGATAGTTGTCCATGATGAACAAGGATTGAAGTAGAAATCATGGCTTCCATGTTCCCTTTTCTTTACTTCTGTACAGATTTAAAAACAAAACAGAGGGATCAGGTATGACGGACAAGGTGTGAAGTAAAAGCAGATCCTATTACTATAAAAAGGAACCTTTTCTTTTCTGTTCTGTTCTATCAGAAAAGAAATCCTGGAGTTCTGATTTTCAATAGAGAATCTTCAACACTCAAGCACCCCAAAAAACCAGTCAATGCCACTAAACAGAGGAGAAAAGGGTACTCCTACAAAATAAAGGCTCTTCAGAAGAAAAAAAAAAAAAAAAAAACGAAAAACAGAAAAAGGATAAATGAAAATAAAAACACATCAAATGTGCTTTTGAGCCTGGAGTTGCAGAAAAGGAGGACTATAATTTGTAACCCAAAATTTCAAACCGTACGTGAAGGATAGCAGGTGCAGATAAAAATACCCGAAATGGAAAAACCAAATGAATCGATAACAGAGATACCCAACAGATGAAAGGAAAAACTAACAAGGAAGAAAAATGAAAATCAGGATCTTGTTTCAAATAACATACGGAGATCTCCTTGGAAAGAAAAAAAGGAAGAACTTGCAGATATTGTCGGAATTCAAAAATAATAGCACAAATAAATAAGATAAGAAAATCCCCTAAAACTCGATCAACACCAAAATCAAAAGTTTTAATCAAAACAACAACAACGACATCTTCGATGATAAAATAAAATAAAAGAAATAATATGAGCTCAAAGAGAAAAGTAACGATATCCATCGACTGAAAACAGCAGATCACTATTTTTAAAGGGGAAGAAAAAGAAACAAAACCATACTTTATCCAACCTCCTTGTTTTTATTTCTTTTGCTTACCTTGAAAGTATGCAACATTTTTTTTTTCGGAATTGAAGGCAGAGGGCAACGAGGAATTGCAGATGAGGGGCAATAAAGATCGGTTATTTATCGAATCTCCGAAGATTGTACAGAGGCCCTGAAATCAGAAACCACGGAGAGAGAAAGAGAGATTGGGCCTTTGGGGGAAAGAGATGGTGAGAGAATATGTAGATTTGACAGTCACGCTCCGGCCCCTCCCCTCTCTCTCTCTATTAAGGATTTCTCTCTCTCTCTTCTTTTTTTGCTCACACCTGTATCTTCTTTATATATTTATTATTTTTGTTCAGCTATTATTAATATTTACTTAATTGTTTTTCTATTTAATTTTCCAATCTGGTTTGGTTTCAGTTTAATAATCATAGTCTTAAAAGCGTTTTTGTATGTAAGAAGTAGGATTTAGATTTTGGTATCGTCGAAATGCCCTTGGATTTGTTTTAATTCACGATATAGCCCATGGATTCCTCCAATCAGTCCGAGTGAAATTACAAATTCGGTCTTATTATTCTGGATTCTTTCCATTTGAGTTTTGAGATGTAATTTTTTATTCATATCTTATATTGTACTAGGTTGAACTGTTTTGTTTGTTAGTGGCTCTAACAGGTCGTGGTCTCGTGGCACCTTGTGTCTTTCTCAAATGACTATGACAGTGGGCCCTCCTACCCAATACGTGTTCAATCATGGATCTTGGGCTTTATCTGGTGACATTACCGCCCTTGGATTGGTATTCTCAATTTCTCATTAGCTGGTCAGCTACTAAAAGTGAAAACAAACCAGTAACACAAATAAAATGTGTTTTCGATTTTTTAGACCGGTGCAAAGCAAACTTCAAACCCTACTTAACTAAACAAAATCAAGACGCAACTCGTTTACGTAAGGCAACAGGATTTACAACAGTTAGGTTTGTGTTATGTCTAATTGTTAAATGGGAAAAAAAGAAAGAAGAAAGAAAAGTAGGTTTTATTGTTTTAACTGAACTCCAATCAAGGGGGAGAAACGGACTGTGGTTGATGGAGTAAGTGGGACCGAGATACATCACCAACGAATGCTTTTGTATCTTAATAGAATTACACAATGATATCATAAAAGAGGTGACCAATCACGTGGCACTCATGACAATTTAGGGTGTGATTTTATTCATCAAAGTTCTTTCGATACATAGGATTGGTCATGGTTTTCAAACAGCCGTTGACCTGGGCGGTCAGACCATTTGGTATGGGAATCGTTTAGGCGTTCCGCTTTATCCCAAATCCAGTCCCTAACCAAAAACCGTTGAATTAGTTAGTGATTTATTGACTCGGGTGATCGAACCGTTGACCCATTTAACCTGTTTAATGATTTTAGCCATTTTATTTTATTTATATTTATATTTTTTTATTTTTTGTTAGAATGGATCCATCCATTCAAACTGGATGGTCGAACCATCAACCCAAAAACTAGTGACTATAATGGTTCCAATTCTAAATCGTTTTTTAAAACATTGGTAGTGATAGTATTTTTATTAAAACCCTTAAGGCCCCGTTCGTTTTTCGATAAGTTACTTACCCGGGTAAATGCAATTTCCCGGGTAAGTTTCTCTTGGGAAATACTAACACGGGTAACTGCATTTACCCATATTCTTTTATTTTCTAGATAAATAAAGTAATGACCATTTTAGCCATAAAAATCCATTATTAAAGGGAGCAATTTTGTCTCATTCAAGTGTTAGCAACTTTCCCCCTAGGTGGGAAAGTTATTTACCCACCTAGGAGATGGGTATTACTTACTTGGGTAAGTGATACCCACGTAAATATACTTTCCCTGGTCCCCACATAAATCTGAAAAATGAGCATGGGATTCTTGGTCAATGGGAAACAAATTCTTATTGACCAACTTTCCCCCCTCTCAAAATCCAAAAAAAAGAACACCCCCTAATTTTATTTTATCCACCTTGCCCAATGATTCAAAAAATAAAACACACAATTTCATCATCTCACGCTAAGCCTTCTTATTACATACCAACAACAACAATAATAATAGCAGTAATATGTTATTATAAAGTAGATGTTTGCCTCGATCCTTATGTATAAAAGTTAAAGTTGATAATATTTATTAACTTAAATCTTAAATCTTTACACACTAATAATAATAACATAACATTTAAATCAAATTTCCACTAGAATAATGGGAAATACTCTTGTAAATCAGAATAAGGTGATGGGTTGGGTTTTGATGGGGTAAAACCGACCTCCAATCTACTAACACGTGGCACACATTGAGAATTGCCAATCGATGATGACGAAGACCTAGCTAAACCTCAGACCGAGAACCACCTCAATGTTGTGAGGTCGTCTTAGTAGGCAACCTGAGAAACGAGCCACCCTAAGCGCTTGTGAAGTCCTGACAAACGAGCGACCTCAATGACTATCGAATTGAGGTTCGAGGAAGCAACACCTACCGAGACGACCTGTTGTCGGAGGCAAGCACAGAACCTTTCCACATGTTTTAAAAAATGACCATCTGTCAATCCATGCAAAAGATTAGACTACACGTAAAATTGCCCATCAATTGGCAAGTCCCAGCCAAGCATGCTATACCAAACACCACATAGCCAATTCACCCAATAGGCAGCCCCAAATAAGCCCCAAGTGGCTCAATTGATTTCCAGGTGCTCCAAACTGAATCTTGGTCGGCCAATCTGGTCTACAGATGGCCTAACTAGACTACAGATGTTTCAAAACCAAGTTCCATGTGTACTAACCGGGTCCCAGATGCTCAAAACCAGATACCAGGTGTCTTGAAGCATGACAGATGTCCCAACCTATTCGACACGTACAATCCCAATGTGCAATCAAAACCTATATAAAGGTCAGAATAATATTCAATTAGGGAGAGTTTTTTTTTTCAATTCCCACCTATCCCTCATACAACTCAATGCACAAACTTGATCATTGGAGTTACAAGCCCGTGATATCACCCCAGTCTCTCTGACTTTTCTTTCCCTCCTTGCAAGTACCTCCAAGCTGTTTCTTAGGCTTGGGGCAGTTTTGCCCCTATAGATGTAACCATCTCAACGGCAGAGCCAGAAAAAATGGTTTAGATCGGTTCTCTCCTTCCCGTTGACCTACAAGACGAGCTAGTAAGATTTAAGTTTAAATTATGATGTATTTTCATGGTCTGCGACCGACATGGCAGGGATCGACCCTTTGGTCATAATTCATAGGTTTAATGTCAACCCGAATGTTAAACCTATAGTGTAGAAAAGACAGAAGTTCGCCCCTGAGCGTCTAAAGGTGATTGAGGAAGAGGTTGGGAAGTTGTTGGACGTCGACTTCATCAGAGAGGTGGAGTACCCAGAATGGGTTAGTAATGTAGTGCTCGTGAAAAAGGAAAATGGGAAGTGGCGGGTTTGTATTGACTATAACGAGCTAAATAGATTCGGTCATAATTCTTAGTTTTATGGATGCATTTTGTAAATATAATCAGATTGCGATGGACTTGGATGATGAGGAGAAAACAACCTCTGTAACTGAAACAAGCTTATTTTGTTATAAAGTGATGTCTTTCGGCTTGAAAAACGCTAGGGTTGCATACCAAAGACTTGTAAATTAGATGTTCAAGGAATTAATAGGAAAAAATGTTGAGGTCTACGTCAATGATATGGTAGCTAAAAGACGAGTTGCATGTGATCATATAAACAACTTGATAAATGTGTCTCTGGTGTCACCTCAGGAAAATTTCTAGGGTTCTTAGTAACTCAGCGTGGCATCAAAGCTTATCCCGAAAAGATTCTAGCTATTTTAGACATGCAACCTTTGAGATCAATCAAGGAAGTCCAACGACTAATAGGTTGAGTGGCTGCCCTTAGCCGATTTGTCACCAAGATCGGAGGTCAGTGTTTGCCATTCTTCAAGGCCATCAAATAAGCTAAAAACTTCAAATGGACACCACAGTATCCGAATGCCTTTGAAGAATTAAAACAATACCTCAGCTCGCTTCCCTTGACGACAACACCAGAACCTAGAGAGGAGTTGTCTTTATATTTGTCCGCTAGTGACGAAGTGATAAGCTTGATGCTTACACGGGAGGTGGGTTGAGTTCAATACCTCATTTACTTTTTCAACAAGATGTGCTTAATAATGCATGAGGCCATGAAAGTCCTCATATTCATGGGAACACTGTGGGCATGGCCCATCGAAGCAGCATCGACTATAAGTCTAATGGCATTAGGGGCGAGTTGTCCTAAGGTGATCAAGTAGATGTTCAAAAACGTTAGTGACCAGATGAGGAAGGGGAAATCTCAATCCCACGACAAAATGATGCTCATATACGTAGACTTCGTTGGCATTATGGTTCCAAGGGGCCTCGTTTGGGGTAGAGAGCCTTAAATGGAATTCATTGGGGACCCTATATAGAAGGTGGATCTTTTGCAGATCGGCCAAGGTACACTGAGTCGGGATAAATGGTTCGTTGGGGCTAATGACGAGCTCGTTAGGTGTTAAGGCGAGCTTCACAATATCTCTGCGAGCTCGGAAAGCCGACTCCACAACCTCGTTCTCTGCTCTCTATGCCCTCTCCATCTCGGCAAAATCGCTTGTCGTGGAGATCGACATGAAACAACTAAAAGAAGAAATGAAAGGGAAAAAGAACTTGGGAGAAAAGAGTCACCCGGGATAGATAGAAGACGAAGCAAAATAAGAAGCAGAAAAGACTTTGGGGATGAGCTCTTCGACCTCAAAATGGGGACCACTCTAAGGCGAATGGACCCCCTATGAGGTCCCTATTTTTAGGCAAAGGAAGCGGACGACGAACGGCTGAGATCAAATAAGATCAATGGTTGAGGATTTTGCAACAGTTGGACTCCTCGAGAAACAAACCAATTGAGCGCATTTTTTAAATCCAAATTGGGTAAATAAACAACGTCAAGCCCA